TAATTAAGAGAAAAAAGAAAGGTCCTGATTAACTTCTGAATAGTAAAAACTTACATCAAGAGTAACTAGAATTTCTGCATGTATGTCAATACTCAAACTTATACTTTAAAGGAATGAAGTTTATTATATGTAAATTACACCTCAATAGAGCTGATTAAAATAAAAAATAACAAGACTGTAGAGCTTTCAAATGAATACGCGTGAAAATGTGAAACAAAAAACAGTCAATCCAAATGAAGGCCAAACAAAAGACAAAGATACAGAGATGAAACAAAATCTGATCTCATAAATATAAATCTAAATAGAGTAATAGTTATATGTAAATGAACTGAATGCTCCAGTTAAATGGCAGCCTCAGGCTTTTTAAAAATCCAACTGTATGCTGTTTAAAAGATACATGTCTAAAGATATCAAAAAGTTCAAAGCAAAAGGCTTTAAAAAGATACCGGGCAGCTCATCAAAATTAATTTAGCTACATTAATAACTTTCTAAACTTTTTTGCCTTAAATGTCTTAGAGACTTTATAGTATCAATAACTTTATAACCATTAACAGTTCATTTCAGAGGGAACAGAAATCAATATATACTCGTATGCCTCCAAAAATATTTAACAAAACTGACCTACAAAATGGAGACACATTTGCAATCACAGCGAGAAATTTCTAACACATTTTTCACAGTAATTGATAGCACTGGAATAAAAAGCCTTAAGTACAGAAAAGATCTTCTCAACGTGATGAACAATCCTGTCACAGTGGCCAAACCCACAACCGTGCCTAACAGGTGCAGAATTATTTTCAAGGGTACAAGAAGTAGTAACGAAAATTGACTAAATTCAAAGCCATAAAAGAAGCCTCAAAAAATTCAAGAGATTCTAATCATAAAGAATGTCCTCTTCTGCCACAGTATGCCAGATAAATAAAAAGATAAATACAAAATTGGGAAAGCCAACTTTCACATTATCAACAGATGAAAGAAAAAAATCATAATGGAAATAAAGTTTCCAAACAAAGATAATGAAAATACTAAATATCGAAACATGTGTAATGTAGCTAAAACAGTAATTAGAGGGAAATCTGTAGCTTAAAATTTTAAATACAGTACTAAAAAAGAAGACTAAAAATTATTGGATGCCTATCTTAAAATAATAATATAACAAAAAAGAGCAAAAGCAGGATAATCAAGAGATGACACTGTGAGCCTACCATTTAGAAATATGGGGATTAGTGTCAAAAACATGCTAAAAGTGATGGTAGGAAACAGTAGTGGGAAAGGGACCCAGTTTTTCCTGATTAAATTAGGTAAAGCTATGTGACTCTTTAAACTCTGTCCATACATAACTTTAATAAAAATTTAAAACCAAAATAAAAAGAGGAAAAAAAGAAAAACAAAACTAACAAAAGTCCATATGGCAACCGTCATCATGCCACCACAAATACATGAAAAAAGAGCTGTGACAATTCAGAATTCTGACACTTCCCATATTCTGCCATTAAGAAACAAAAGCAAATAAAACTGTAACTGTCACTATGAATAAATAATCATAGTTTTAAAAAGGTCCCTCAAAAGTCTGTTGATAATTACTTTAACACTTCTACAAGTTGCCTTCAAATGTATTCAATTTGCCTCCATCTGGCCACTGAATAGTAGCCTTAACACATCTGGAAGCTAAGTGGGTGGTGTTCAGAATTCTAACAAATGCATCAAGTAATTTTAAACTCCAATGGTTGATACTGAAAATGACATGTAAATCCAAATGGAAAAAGTCATTTAAAAAGTTGAAATTAATTTCATTTGTGTTTAATATCTCATGATCTGCCAGTATCTGATAAGATGATGGCTGAAAAAATTCTTTCAAACACTTCTTATCTGGAACCAACCAATATTTTTAATTCTCTAAAATGTATCACTTAAATCTTGCTGCTTAGATACAGCTCCAACACACAATTCAAAAAATAGAGATTAATGTATCCTAAAGATGCATTCATCTGAAATTTAAAAATGAGAAAGACAGTCAACTGCCAACACAGCTACTTTAGAAATAACTGTCCAGTTGTGTAAATAAAAGACCATGTGCTATTCCTGTAACACATGCCACAGAAATACAGTTAACTAGCCTACACTATACTTTGTGGCAAAATAGAGAACACATTGATAAACACGTATTAACTGAAATACTTGAAATAGCTTCTTTTGCTTACACATAATAAAAAGGAGTCAGTTACTTGGGAAGACTTTTCAGAGCACTTACACTCTGACAAACCCGTCTTTACCATCCGGCCCTGGCCAAGTCAGACCACAAGTAGGAACCCACTTCTATGAGCAGCCAAATTAAAGGACAAGCTGACCAGCTGTTAGGGGCCAAGCAGGAAACCATCAAGGGTAGCCTATTCTGGGTGATGAATTAACAGGCAGATATACAAGAACTCACCATCGTAGCCTACAAGAAAGAAGTAGCCTGCGAAAGAATGAGAACCAAAATCCTGGCCTTGACACCCGTTAAAAAATTATTTTTCTTGGGGCGCCTGGGTGGCTCAGTCGGTTGAATGTCCGACTTCAGCTCAGGTCATGATCTCGCGGTCCGTGAGTTCGAGCCCCGCGTCAGGCTCTGGGCTGATGGCTCAGAGCCTGGAGCCTGTTTCCGATTCTGTGTCTCCCTCTCTCTCTGCCCCTCCCCCGTTCATGCTCTGTCTCTCTCTGTCCCAAAAATAAATAAACGTTGAAAAAAAAAAAAAATTTAAAAAAAAAAATTATTTTTCTTTATTCACACATCAAAACTCCCACCATTTTTAATCATGTTATATAGTTCCTATACACACACAGAAAAGAAAGAAGAAATTCCTTCCCCAAATTCCTTCTGCAGTATTTTTCTGCTTTGAGGTAGCACTATCTGTCACCGCCCAGGTGTTATTTTTAAGCAGTTCTTAGCTGGGCACAAAGATGTTTAAAGAATAGCCATACATCTAGTAAGTTCAGTACCCTTTCCCAAATGCCTCCTGTCTTCTTTTTCTCTTTTTGACAAATACCATTCTCCTTTACTCCTGACTTCTTTCTACTCCGCCTGATTTTAGAGTACCTCCCAACATCCCTCAAATCTTTGCGAGCACCGAGGAAATGGCGGGGGGGGGGGGGGG